CCTAAAAGTCGAACAAGTGACAAAATCTCCTTCAGCTATCATATTATAAGCATGCCACATATCTTCGGTATTTTCTGGTACAAGACCTACACTCCTAAAAACAATATATAATGGCAAAGTAGAAATATTATAACTATAAAAATTAAAACATGATAATATATGAATATAATTTGCTTACCCTTTCCCATCCTTGTCAACATTTTTTGAGATTAACTTCATTTTTTATATTTTTTTATAAATACAACTTTCTAAAACTTACAAAATTGATCTTTTATTAAATTAATCATTACATTATCTTCAATTTAAAAATTTTTTAGAACAATTCATATAAATTGTATTAGATTTTGTTACATTATTTATTCACGTTAAGATATAAATATCTATTGAAACAAATTGTTCTGAAGATATAATTTAATAAAGCAAAAATGAAATTGTTCGATGTTTTTATAGGTTAGTTTTAACAAATAAGTTGTCTATATGATAATTCTATATAAAATTATAATATAACTACCTTAAATGCTATTGCACAAGTATTTATTTTTAAATAAGATCTGCTTCATGTTTTAAGTTTATTCAAAAGAATATAAAATCTTTTGTGCCATATGTCAAACATGATACAAACGTTTCTCTCCTTCGTACGATATAATACAATATCCTCACCCAGTAATAATCACAGATCTTACAATAAAAGAGTTTCAACCTTGTGAATTACTACGTGAAACAAATCCTTCGTTGTATTTGGCGCTTTTTGTCATTTCCGTAGTTCTCTTATGAAAAATTGTAAGAAAATAAAAAAAAAATACTAATCACTACATCATTATATGCATACATAAAAAGATAATAATTAAATTTCATTAACAATGGATCATGATATATTTTAAATAATATATAAATAATTTAAACGTTTGAGAAAGAAAAAATATTAAACAAATAAAATAGTTTTTATTTTGTAATCAAATTATATTTTATAGAATTATATTCTGGTAATTTGAATTTTACTGTTGGTACAAGATCCCTGTAACTTCACACATTAATAACATAACGGAATGGAGTATTCTTCGATGTAATATTAAGTGGTCTTACAATTCTGTAAATCCATACAAATTATAAAGATATTCGTTTTGATTAATTCATTTAATTAAAAATTTTTACTACGATAAAAATGCTGTGAAAAAACTATTTACAATTATTGAAGAAACTAAATATTAAATAATCCAATTGATGTTTATGTCAGATGGTTGGCAGTATATTTAAAACAACTTGGCGGTTGTAATGCGTTGTAATCCATTATTTTAAAGAAATATTTATTTTATTAAATTACTTTCAAATATGAGTGCGAAACTTAGAGAAATAATGAATGATATTTTTTATAATGTTCAAGTTAATAAAACTTGCCATAAACGGTATATAAAAAGATTAACGAATATCAGTCAACAAGTAAGTAATGATTGTTTATACTAAATAACATTTTATTTTTGTTAAATGAATAATATGTTTATGTAAAAGTTAACATACTTTTCTTGTTTTAGTATGAACTAGAGTTATTTTTGGAGGAATTTATCTCCTGTTTGAAGATTCCTCTTAGTATGAGTCAAAATCATATATCCATTGATAATACCCTTCAATTTGCTGCTAAATATGCAGTTAGCTCTTATGCATCTTCTGATGGTGAAGCATGCGAACCTATGTCTCCATTTCTTGAAAAATTATTTGAATTTGTATTAACACATCATAATGCAAAGGATTCTTCTGTTAGATTTCGCATATGTCATTTTTTAAATATGTTATTAAATTCAATGGGTGAAAATGCTTTCATTGATGATGCACTTTGCGACAAAATTACTGTTAATATGATGGATCGATTACTGGATAAATCGCATAAAGTTAGAGCCCAAGCTGTTTTTGCTTTACATAGGCTTCAAGATCCATCAGATGAAAATTGTCCTGTAATAAAGATGTATATATTTCATTTATCCAAAGATCCAAAAGTTGAAGTTCGTAAAGCAGTATTGAGTAGTATGGCCAAAAATCAAAAAACATTACATGCCGCTTTAAAAAGAATTAGAGATGTGAGTGATATAGTACGAAAAATGGCTTATGACTTTATCAGTAAAATTACAATAAGATCATTAACAATCAAACAAAGGATCCAATTGTTAAATGAAGGACTCAAAGATAGAGCTGAGATTGTACGCAAATGTGTTGAAAATGTATTATTACCAATATGGCTGCGTTATTATAATGGAGAGTACATAGATTTAATTCATGCATTAGATGCAGAAATTGGAACTAATGTATCTATTTTAGCATTAAATGTACTCTTCAAGTAAGCATTTAATCAATTATTTCAAAAGGTAAAATTTTTATTTAAATTTGATTAATTATATTTTATTTGTTTTGACAGAAAAACTGAGATAGATAAATTAATCAGTCAAATACCAATCGATGAAACTACAAAACTTATACCAATTAATAAATTAACAAGCGAGAACTGTTTGTATTGGAGATGTGTAGCTAAACATTTTCATAGTCTATCTTCCTTAGACGCATTAGAAAAAATTTTGCCTGAATTATCAAGTTTCTCAGCATATATTAATGAGTTTTTAATCATGATTTCTTCTGAAACATATGAAATGTTGGAAAAAACAGCACACCAATTTATTCTTCTTCAGCTTTTTGAGATAATTAAAGTATATGATTTGTCAGATGAAGCAGGAAGAAATAATTTAAGTGAACTGATATTAAATGTGCTATTGACTGACCATTGCTCTAAAGAAATAATTGAATGCATAGTAAATCACCTTGAGAATGTGATACCTGATGTAAATAAAAGACTAGATCTTTTATCAAATACAATTAGTAAAATCAGAACGCCAATAAAAGTTACTACACAAGTTATAAAAGAAATATCTCCAAAACAAGAACATCGAAATAACATGCAAGTATGTAGTTATATTTATTCTTTATATTTAGTTTAATAATTATCATCCTATTGACTTTTTTGTTTCTTAGAAAGCCAGATTACGAGTACAATTACTAGAACTTAAAGAGGAAGAATATCAAGCTATACAAAATAAAGAATATTTAAAAGCTGAGAATCGAAAGGAACAAATAGATAAAATAAATCAAGAATTAATGAAATTAAATGAACAATCAGAACCTAATCAAATGATTGTTGATGATGATATTGAAGAAGAAAAAAGTGATTCTGAAACGATGATTAAATGTCTCACTATCATGTGTGCTATGATGAGAGTTAAATCAGTAAAAACGTTAACACCTACTCTTAGATGCCTTGTGAATGTAGCGCTTTCAAGTTTAGATGTAAGTTCTTTATTCTGTACACATGTAATTTAAATTATTTTCTGTGTTATTTCTTATATTAATAACATATTTATGTTTAGCATCCAGATGACAGGGTCCATATATTAGCACTAGAAGCTTTGGGAATATTTTGCATATTAGATAAGGAATTAGCTAGAACAAATATTTTGACATTTTTGTTACAATTTTCATTGGAACAAGAAAAACAAGAAATATGGATTATTACTTTAAAAGCTCTTTTTGATCTTCTATTATATTACGGACTTGAATTTTTTGATATTTCGAAAAATGATGACAATAGTAGCCTATTAAATAAAACTAATAAACCTGTAAAGTTATTCAATCAAATGGAAGAAGAAGATATTACTGTTTACAGACAATCGTCCAATAGTCAAGTACAAAGTCCTGATATAATGAAAATTCTAATAGGATTATTGGATAATGTGGTCAGAATTATTTCATACTATATATTTTTTATACTATATTTAGTTTTATATTATTTATTGAAATTTCATTATTCATCGTATAATGAAATATAATAAATTTTATTGATATTATTACAGAATCAAGATTTGAGAACTATTGCAACCGAGGGACTTTGCAAATTATTAATAAACCGTCGTATAAACAGTTCTACTCTGTTAGCTCGTATAATAATTATGTATTATAATCCAACAAATAGAGATGACATTTATCTCTGTCAATGTATTAGCAGCTTTTTTGATCAATTCATAATGTATGTACCTTTTAATCAAGAAATGCTGGAAGAAGCATTCTTTCCAGTTTTAAAGATCATATGTAATGCACCAGAGATTAGTCCTCTTCAAGAAATTAATCCTTACAATGTAGCTGCTTTTATTTTGAATTTGACTAGAAATAGAGGTAAAGGATCTGAAAGCATGAACACATATTGTGTACATAATAATTTGGCCTTTGCAATTCTGGCTGAAATTTTAAATTCAGATAGTAAAATTGACAAAGATGTACTCATTAAGTGTTTGAAGGATTTAGATATACAAATAGACGATAATTTATCACAAGAGGATTTAAAAGATGGTATTGAGAAGGTTTCATTAATGGTAAGTTTTAATTATATAATAATAATAATTTGTAAAATATTTATTAGAAAAATATGTATTATGATATTTCTTGTTCTTCATAATAAAATCAATTATAAAATTAATTTTATTTATATATTATTTAGGTGAATAAGTTTGATAAACGATTTTTGAATTATGTACAAAAGTTTAAGAAGAAATTGGAATCACCAGGTTTTATAGAAACCCAAGAGGAAGTAGAAAATAATACAGATACAGAAGAATGAATTAAATTATTTATAATTTCATATTAATAAAGAATTGTTACTTTTAGAAATGAATTATTGACTAATATATTGATTATAAATATATATACATATCGCATACATTAGTAATAGAATAATGAAAAAATTGTAATGATATGATTGGATGATTTATATTTCTGTGTAACAGTAACATTTAAGAAAAGAGCTTTTATATTTTTTAATAATAAAAATTTTTGAATACTTTCTTTATTTGTCTTTATTTATATTAATAAATATTAAATATTTCTTAATACTAATAATAAGAGGGAAAGAGAGAGAGAGAGAGAGAGAGAGAGAGAGAGAGAGAGAGAAATTACTTTATCCGTAACGCAGACAACAGATGGCGTTTATTCTTGTTTATATCGATACTTTAACTCTCAGATGAAGTGTCAACTTTGCGTAGCTGTAACCAAGAAATAAAGTTAGAAATTAAGCTATGGAGAAATTATCAAAACCACAAATAATTTGTCATATTGAAAAATCCGTCGATTATTCCTTATTTGACACAAAATGGATTCCGTGTAGTGCGAAGTTTGTGGTTATGGGCTCTAGACCTCGTGGTACTGGAATTATACAGATTTATGAAGTATCAAGCGGAGAATTAAAACATATTAAGGATATCGAACGATCAAATCCAGTTAAATGTGGAACATTTAACGCTTCGAGTTTACGAGACAGGCACTTAGCAGTTGGTGATTTCAAGGTACATCTGATAGAACTGCTAGTTCATTGTAGTAACATGTGAGTTTTTTAAATTGTTCCACAATATCTGAATTATGATTCAGACATATATATAAATTAAATATTCGTTGCTTTTGTATAATTTATCTATATATTTTAAAATTTCAATTTATTTAATTAACTATTATTTCAGGGAAAACTTAATATATACAATCTTGAAGATCCTTCAATACCACTTTATACAGCTAATGCTCACGATGATATTATAAATGCTATTTCTGGTGTAGCTGGTCATAGCATTGGTTGTGGTGCACCAGAGTTAGTAACAGGATCACGCGATGGTAGCGTTAAAGTATGGGATCCAAGACAAAAAAGTCGACCGGTAGCTGTAATGGAACCTAAAGAAGGAGAAAGTCGTAGAGATTGTTGGACAGTTTCCTTTGGTAATTCTTACAACTCTGAAGAAAGAACTGTTGCAGCTGGCTATGACAACGGGGATATCAAAATGTTTGATTTAAAAGCCATGTCTCTTAGATGGGAGAGTAACGTCAAGAATGGTGTTTGTGGTATCGAATATGATAGGAAGGATATTCCTATGAATAAATTAGTCGCAACTACTCTTGAGGCTAAATTTTATTTATTTGATTTGAAAACGCACCATCCAAAGAAAGGTTATGCTTATTTAATAGAAAAGGTAAGAAAATATTTTTCAAGAGTAAACTAAAATATAATTAATTACTTGCCCTGACTTATTCAGGCGCATAAATCAACAATATGGATGGTCAAGCATTTACCACAAAATAGAGAAATATTTGCAACTGGAGGTGGAGATGGTTCTCTTTGTCTTTGGAAATAGTAAGTGTGAATGTAAAATCACATAATTTTCTTCTTTTTAATGTTTATTGTTGAAATATTGGAGTAGCCTAAGTATTTTGATTTTTTAGTAATTATCCAGAGAAACGAAAGCAGACTGACGCGGATGGTATAGAGCAAGGTGTTATTGGAAGTGTAAGTCTACTTCAAAACAATTCTCTTTCAACTCAACCAATTAGTGCCTTGGATTGGAGTCCAGATAAACAAGGGTTAGCTGTTTGTACATCGTTTGATCAATGTTTACGTGTTATTATAACAACTAAGCTTAACCTCGTATGAAAGAAATATAAAAGTTCAACATAAATGTTTACAAGTAATAATCATTAATAATTACCATTAATGAAATATATTTTATTATAAATTTTCACATTACGATTAACGAAATTTAAATTTACTCCTATAACTATTGCACGAGTAAATGGAGACGATATATAGATTGGCAATGTTATCGAGTGACAATATTAGCTGTCGCTAATATCGGTCTATAATAACGATATCGATTATTTTATCCTTGTTCAATTTGTTCTTGTAGTAGAGAGCTCACCGATATTACGCAACGCAATGCCGCGAGTAGATAAAGCGAATTATGTGTCATTGGGCCAATCTATTTAGGATCGGACCCTTATTAAGTGACGGCCATCTTGGCGCATTGCGTTACATAATGATTAATTTGTCGGCCATCTTAGGTTTACGACTCGTTCTTGTATACACATCGTAATACTGTAGCGCAACATCAGCTCAATTATCGTCGAGTTACAAGGTCACGAATAGTACGAGTTTAATTACATAAATTAGTTCTCATTTCCTTTTCATCTACAATTTGTCTCATTACGATTAATTTAGTAGATAAACAACTGCTGCCATTTCATTTGTTCTCCAAAATAGTGATTGATTCGACTTCAAAAGGGATTGTTTTTCTATTAAGTTATTAATAAAAATACTGACTCACATCTTTTTAATTATGTTTTGTGATACTATTATTCTTACGTCATATACATTTCAATCTAACGATATTTCAATTTAATCAAATTTTCTATAATAATTATTTAAAAATAGAACAAACACACAAATATATATATATATATATATATATATAACGTTTTATTTTTCCTTTTCAAACACGAGTTTAAGTTAAAGAAAATTTTCTCTAAAATTCGAAAGACCGATACGGTTGTTAGATACGTGGCCTGGAACTTTACCAACTCGGTTGACAGATTGCAAGTAGCGTGCAGATTTCAAAGTTTTCTCGTCTAAGAACTCGTTACCAAAGATGACTGCCATGTTAAGATGGCAATGTGTGTATGGTGGTGCCTAGCACCTATTTTTGTTGCTCTGGTGGCACGTTTATTAGTAGTGAGCGCTCCCTGGCGTTTACTGTTTTTGACGAGCATGCGTCGTTGACAACGACAACGACAACGACGACGACGACGACGACGACGACGACGATCACAATCACCGCTAGAGCGAACTTGGTGAACGTCCAAAATTTATACGCAAGCTCGAGAACCGTACACGCTATCGCCTTCGTTTTCCAATGCCATCGTTTCGCAAGGTAAAAATATCTTTACTTCGCATGTTGTTCCAACGATGAAACGACGTCTACTGTTCTATGTTTAAGAATTCAATGGAAACGTTCAAATGTAATATGTTTAAAAATTATGAGCGAAAAAACGAAAAAATTAATAAATAATATAAATATGAATTTAATTAACTCTCTATAACAACATCATTGTATAATTTTTTTTTCAATTGTATTTTATTTATTTATTTTTTTTTTCAATTATGTTTTATTTCATTATATTGATATTTACTCAATTTTTGTTTCATATCCGTTATTTGTATATATTTTATTAATGTATAATTTTATATTTAGTATAGTACAATTAATACCGTATTATTTTTACATTGTATAATTTTTGTATAGACGTTCAACAAAATTTGAATTATAGAGAATTAACATGAGAGAATGTTAGTTATCTACAAAATGTTATTTAATATTCGATTTTTATTTAATTTTTTTTCTGTTTTTTTTTTATTTTTTTTTCTTTTTTTTTTTTTATAGAATTCATCCTAATAGCAATATTTTATAGTTAATAGAGATAAATCACCATCTAATTTTAAAACAAAAGTGTTCCTTTGTATATAATTATTTAATAAAATGAGATGGACATTATTTTTTTTTTTTGTAATTTTAATCTATTTTTGATTCATGAAACGCATACGTACGTTATTGACAAATTGATGTATTCACTGCCAAACATTTAAGTGTGTAAATAGCCACGATGCATTTTAAATGCCAAACGTTTCAAAGTATGATGTTGTTCTAATCCAATACTATTAAAAGCATACAATGCTTTAGTAGGTTCATTGCGTGAATCATTTTGTATCATCTATTCATATTAAATATAAATTTAATTCGACTATATTAGTATTGCTTAAATTTTTAGAAATGATTTCGTCATTAACAATTGAATCAGTCGTTTTAAATTGCATCGATCTTTTCAAACGATCGTAAATATTTACGTTATCCAATTTGAATAATAATTAACTTTTGAATTGCGATAAAGATTTATTTTTTATATAGATAATATACATTATATATATAATAAAATAAATCGAATATAATTTTATCGTATATAAAATCTATATAAAATGTATATAAAATGTATATAAAAAATAAAAATTAAATTCATGCTAAATTATTATATCTGTAATAGTCGAACATGAAGTTTTATCGATGAAGTTTTATCGATCAATAAAAAAAGCAGATCTTATCAATGTAAGATCCTACGATCTTACATGCGAAAATATCTTAAAAATGCAAAACAAAAAAAAATGGAATAAAAACAATGAGTAAATAACAATCTTTGACGTATATTTTATTTCAGTCAATAAAAAATTGTAAAATCTTTTCAAAGAATGAGAAGATAAAAATCTTCGTCTGTAAGTTTGATCTATTTGTAAAGATAACTTAAAATGCAAGTTTCTTCATGAGCAGGTACATATGTTGATCAATCTCGAAACCATGTAAGTTATTTGCGTCACCCTGCAGCCTCATTAATAATCCACCGAAAGATACGTAGGCAGATCTGAAAAAGAAAGAAAACGAAAATCAGATGCGTCTTCCAAAATTCAAAGCTTTCCAAAAAAATATTGAATATGATACCGTTAACATTTAATATTTAAGATACATTTATTTTTCTAATGAATTCCTCTCTGCTGTGTGTGTGTGTGTGTGTGTGTGTGTGTGTAATATATATATATATATATATATATATATATATATATATATATATATATATATATAATGTTTGTATATATATATAGTTATAAAATATTGAATATAATTTTTTAATATCATCAACATTTAATATTTAAGATATATTCCTCTTTCTTTAACATGTTTAAAATAATATTATAAAATATTAAATACTATGAATTTTTTATTCAATTAACATTTATTATTGAAAATATACTCATATTTCTAATTACTCTTTCTAACATATTTATATTATTGTTAAATATAATATTACTAACATTATAATAATAATAATAATAATAATTATTATTATTATTATTATTATTATTATTATTATTATAATTATAATAATTATTATTATTATTATTATTATTATTATCACGAATACAAAGTTAAAAATTCTTTTTAGTAAAATTGTTCCTAATATTATTACTAGATACTTTAAATCGGACATGTTCTTTAAATTTGCATGATCGGATTATCCTTCTTAATTCTTGTTTTTCTATGAAAAAACATTAATTTTTATCATGGTTAATGAGCTTTCTCCATTCGGCGCCAATTTGCGAACGTCATAATTGCAGTGCCGATAGCGGTCGTGATCATAATTTCATCCACACAACCAGCTAACCACACTGCCAACATGCCGATCACAATGAAATGAAAATTGTCCTCCAATTTCGAAGTGAAATTTATCTTTCTCATCGAAATTTTCTTCTCATGTACGTTGCTCATCTTTCCTCTCTGTCGTTATCTGTAACAAACTATTCGAACAAGTTCCTACGTTATTTTATTTGTTAGTAGAATATTTATAATATCGTCACTTTATTTTTCACTCGTTCTCTATATGCGCGCATATACGTTTTTTTATGTACATATATATACATGCATGTATGTATAATTAAATATAATCCGTGTATATATATATATATATATATATATATATATGTATATATATATAGACATTATATAATATTTATTTAATTTTGACGTTTATAAATACAAACTATGAATATATGTATATAATTATATAGTCAGTATTTCTTCCTTCGCCATATTTTTTGTCCACAAGAAAAAAAGAAAGATAAAGAAGAAGACGAGGAATGCAAACTCATCGTAAAACGCGGATGAAAAAGACAAAGAAATACAACAATAATAAGATAACTGATGGAATAACAAGAAAATATCTGAGAGGGGTATCACGAAAATTATTTTACCCCGCAATTAACCTCAATTCGTACGTCAAGAAGGTTAAGTAACAACGGTTACCGTTCGTTCGACTGCGGCCACATAATTGTACGAACGTAACGATCGAAACGATTCGTAACGATTACACAATTCTGACACACGATTATATATGTATATATATGTACATGTGTATGTGTTGTATGTAAATATGTTTATTTATATATATATATATGAATATATATATATACAATATATATATATATGTGTGTGTGTGTGTGTGTGTATGTACATGTGTACGTATCGAAGGAAGAGATTCTATATTTACAAGTACATACATATGTATCTTTCGACGTTCTCTCTTTCTTTTTCTCTTCTACCTGGAACGAGATCAAACAAAAACGGGGAAAGGGGGGGTTAAACGAAGAAGAAGTAGTAGAAGGCAGGTTAGGTTAGCCAAATATTCGGATGCATCGAATTTTGCAACGCCTCTTTACGTGTGTAGACCTTAACCTTAAAACTATTACACTCTCGGCTAGGCTAAGACGAACTATTCCGTTTCTAATTAAGCAACGAGTCACGCATTTGGCACGGTTTTAAAGTCGTAAAGAAATTTTCACAAATCGAAATAGAAGTGTTAATTTTATGCGATGATTTTCGTTTGACATTTGCAACGATTACTTTTAATATAACGAGTTTGTTATTATGAAAGTGACTGAAGTTGTGTTATTATTATTTCTTTTCCAAGTGTTTTCTTATTATTATTATTATTATTATTATTATTATTATTATTATTGTTATTATTATTATTATTATTATTATTATTATTATTATTATTATTTTTATTATTATTATTATTATTATTATTATTATCATTATTTAAATCGATGTAATACGAAGTGATAAATATTATTTTTACAGATTTT